CTGCTTAGACCCTAAAAATAGAACCAACGGAATAAACAAACGAGAGGTCTCGGTGAAATCTCCGATTCGCCGAGACCCCGTCCGAGAGCCCCCATGAAGCAAACGATTCTCCGACTACTTGAGAGACCGCCTCGTCGAGGCCCCTCGTCGAGGCCCATTCGTCGAGCCCCCCTCGCCCGGGGCCTCGGAAGAAGTGCCGATTCTTCGATTCGCGCGAGGCCGGCTCGGGACCAGCCCCGTGACCGCCTCTTTGACCGAACTGCTCTGACCGAACATCGCATCCAAGCGTCCCAACCACTTGACAGACGACGCATGCGATGGCACAAGATAAATAAGTGACGACTACACGCCGATCGCGTCAACCTCTCCCGCCATCTACGACGGCACAGAGCGGGGGTTACCGACCACCGTGTCTGTGCTTAACTCCTGCACCAAAGACATCGCAATGTGGGGAGTCGAACGGGTTCCTCAGTAGCCTCGGAATCGCCGGACCGACCGCTCTCCGTCTTGCCCGAGCCCCCTCGGCGGGCCTCGAATTCACCGATCTTTCTCCGCCTCGCCCGTCGCCTCGCCCGAGACCCCGGTAGGGGGCTCGACGAATTGGGCGCGCTCACCTTCGCCCCGAGGCCGGGCTCAAATCCCGCAACCTCGTCGCCTCCGCCTCAAAGGTCTCTCTGGCAGGCTGTCGCATCCGATTAATGCGCTCAGCTGCACCCGCTACGTAAGCCACGATCGGCAGTGCGCTACAACAGGAGCGACGGGACAACGGTCAGATCACCTTTTTAACATCCCTTACTGACAATACAGGTATCGAATCATGTAGGCACACGTCTCGCACTATTCCGCCTGATGGCCGCTGAGACCCGCATCTGCACCTGGGTCACTTCTCAGGCCTCGGCACAAGCAGGCCTCGGCACGACAGGCCTCGGCACGCCCGACTACGATGGCCGCCGAGCCTCTGCAATCCACCAAGTCAACAAATGCGCAGCATGTTGCTTGCAGTGGAGACCATACCGATTAGATATTTACGGGAACTCCAACGACAACGTCATGCTGCTCCAGGAGTAAATACGTCATCGAATAGTCCGCTCCACGTGTAGCTCTCTTATGTACTCCTGGTTTTCTCCCTGCGGCTATAAAAGGAGGCGGCCAGGACCATTTCTAGGGACGGCAGATAGAATCACGAATACTCGCACGAACAACACGTCTCATTTTGTAATTCATATCACCTCCCCTCACAGAGATCTAGGACGAACTTCCTCTCTCTGGCCCAGCTTGTAACCCCCTACTACGAGCACCCCGGTGCAAGGAATACAAGAACATCTTCTCAGACTAGACGTAGGGCATCCATTGCCCGAACCAGTATAAACCTTGTGTCTCTTTGCATCACCATCCGGAATTAGGAGCACGCAGCACAAATTCACTAGTCGGTTAAGGACCCCCGGTTCCGAAACGCCGACGCATAGCTTATCAGCCAACTAACAGTATTTTTTGTCACACTAAACCAGCCGATAATAGTTTTAATCATGGCTTATAAGCCAAACTAGCCCAAACAAACAGGACAATATGACCAACTGATTTATTTTTGGCATCAATGGCGATTTTCTATCATTGTGCCACACCAAATTACTTGAAATTAGGCATCCAATTTAACACCCCCTCTTCGGCTCTCAAGGGATCTTAGAAAGTGCGATCAAAAAGCTCACAGTGCAGGCAAGTATCTGTGCACAATAGTGCCACTAGATCATCCGCCGAGAAGAATAAAGGTCCATTGGATCATATGGTGACGAGAAAATAGTTGCGCCCATTGGAGGTCATGGTGAACAGAGCTCCGGCCTCTCTTTGGCTGAGAAAGATTACTACTCCATCTATTAGATACATTATTCTTTTTATATATCTAAATATAGTATATATTTAGATATATAGCAAAAACTATGTATATAAAAAAATCAAAACATCTTACTCACTCCGTCCTAAAAAGAATGTAACGATCACTTCCCAAGAAGTAAAACTATTTAAAATTTGACCAAATTTATACGAAAAATTGCTAACACTTATGATACTAAATAAATATTATTAGATTAGTTACGAGATATATTTTTATAGTAAACTTATTTGAGATATTTACTATATTATTTATGTAAACTTGGTTAAACTTAAAAAATCTTGACTCATCGTGGACCTAGAATTATATATTTTTTTGGGACGGCGGGAGTACAATTTAGAATAGAGGGAGTATATACCTGTAGCTATTGGTTATATTTTTGCTAGTAAACAGTCTTTTTTTTTGAGGAATTTGCCAGTAAACAGTCCATATGGAAGAGCTTGCCTGAAAAACTTTAGTCCCTCTCTGCTCCAACTTCTGCTTTTGGTTTCAGGGTAAAAGCGAAAAATGGAAACAACCAATCTATTTTTAGAGTTGCTTCTAGAAGTCAAATGCTGCATTTGTACTAGTAGAGACCGAATGGCGTGGCAGAGGCGTTTTTGCTCGCTTACGTACTTACGTAGGATGCTCTTTTAAATTCGATTAATTAGAAAGTCAATTATAATTAAAAAAATGTATTATACATTTGATTATTTTGAAAGTCAATTAAAAAGAAGTATTTAATTTATTTAAAAGCTAGCGTTTCCTCAAAGAATCATTTTTAAAAAATAAAAAAAGCACGAACAAACAGGCGGATCGGACTCAATCTCACCATATAGCAGAGAAATGTTCCAAGAAGTCACAAGACTCGCAACTCGCCAAGGATGGTGGCGGGTTGGCGGGCCGTTGTTCATGGATCACGGTTCATTGGTCTGCTGCCTGTAACGGCGTAGGATCAAAAGGCTATTTGGCTGACTGGTTTGTATTATTACTGGTTCGTTTATGTGAGAGAAAAATATTACTTGCTTAGTTTATATAAATAATACCTATGTGAGGGGGCTGGCCAGCCAGCCTAGCCAGCCAGCCAGCCCCAGCCGAACGGGCCGCAAATCACAGGTCGTGGGCTCCTGGCGGGTTGATTCCTCCCCAAATTTCTAGCGGGCTAAAATGTCGTCTTCCTCATGGGGTTGTTGGCGCACTCCTCCGCGCCCACCCTTTTTTAGGCGAACAGCGGTTGGTGAACAGTAAAAGAAGATAAACATTAGTCGGGAAAAGCGATGAACAGTGACCGAGAAATAATAGAAAAATCGGTGAAACCTTCCCCTGCAATTCTTGGCGGGCTGATTACTCCTCAATGCAAGTTCCACTAGGATGTGCGATAAAACAGTAGGAAAATCGGTGGAATAGTGTTTTCTTCAGCGCCACCATGCCTCGGTACTTGTTTAGATGTCATTCAAATTCTAAGTTTTTTCACTCTCTCTTTATCACATTAATTTTTAGCTGTTTGTATGGAGAATTAAATGTAGGTAAAAAATAACTAATTATACAGTTTAATTGAAAATCATGAGATGAATCTTTTGAGCCTAGTTGGTCCACGATTGGACAATATTTGCCAAATAAGACGAAAGTGGTACTATTCATCAGGTTGCAAAAATTTGCAAAGTGAACAAGCCGCTAGAAAATTTGACCGAAAGTATTTTCTTCATCGCAACAGTGCGCTATAGTAGTAGACACATGGGTAGGGCGGCTATCCAGTAGACTGTGACATCGTGGTCTCCTGGCGGTCTGGCGCCGGCGCCGGCGGCGAGGGAAGAGCGGCACGCCATACTCCTAACGACAGTACTATAGAGTAGCTACTACCTACGGAGTACTAGCTAGGTGGCTTGGCGCTGGATGATTGGACAGCAGAGGTTATCAGTCTTCCGTTCTTCCAGCCTGAGAACAGGATACAGGACAAGTTTCAGATGTCATCACTGACGATCGACGACCATTGGTGCGGGTCAGCCGATGAGCCTGACAGCGGCCGGGGCAACCCATCCGGCCTGGTGAGCCTGACAGCGGCCGGGGCAATCGTTGACGCCTCCACGGGCGATCCGATCCCACGTCCTAGCCTGTGCAGCACTCCAGTGTCACCCTGTTTACCGTCCGCAAAAGAATCTAATTATAGCAAACGTGTCGGTCAAATTGGTACAAATTTGACCAAATTTACAGTAAATAATATTAATATTTATGTCTTTAAATAAATTTATTATAAAATATATTATATAGCTAATTTAATGATACTTATTTTATATTATGAATGTTAGTACTTTTTTTATATAAATTTAGTTAAAATTCAAATGGCTTAACTTTTCAAAAAGTGAGAATTGCATTCTTTCATGGACGGACGGAGTATTTGACCGCCACACATTAAAGAATTGCACGTAACGTCATACCTTACGTCATCTTTCCCTGCATGATGCGCTCTGATACTAGGGGCTTAAGTTTAGCCCGTCACAACAAATATTTGGATGCTAATTAAAAGTTTTAAAAATAGGTTAACTATAAAACTAATTACATCAATGAGGGCTAATTCACGAGACAAATCTATTAAGCGTAATTATTCTATGATTTGACAATATGGTGTTATAGTAAACATGTGCTAATGATAGATTAATTAGGCTTAATAGATTCGTCTCGCGAATTAGCTACGGCTTCTGCAATTAGTTTTATAATTAGTTTATGTTTAGCTCTCCTGGCTAGCATCAAACATCCGACATGACAAAAGCTAAACTTTAGCCAAATGATCCAAACACCCTATTCCAGCTAGTTGAAGGTGTGTTGTTATTGCCAACTTACAATTTGGAACTGCCTCTATTTTGACGTCAGTTGTTCGATCTTGGATAGCCATCTAAAAATACAATACATTATCACTGCTGAATGCTGATGCGCAGGCCGGGTTTACGTGATATGGAAGCCAGATTAGTCCATATATATAGAATTAACTCACGTGCTTCCGTCACGCACCAATCGGCTTTCCACACACAAACGTGCTATAAAAGGTTGCGCACTGCCGCACTCTTGCCCTTCACAAGCACTCACTCTCTCTTCCGCACACAGGCACAGCTAAGTGAGCGAGCGGTGACCAACGCGAACCATGGCCGACACATCGGAGCGCAGCAACATCCACGTCCTCCTGCTCCCGTACCCGAGCCAAGGCCACATCAACCCGATCCTCCAGTTCGGTAAGCGCCTCGCGGCGCACCGGGGCGTGCGGTGCACGCTCGCCGCGACGCGGTTCGTGCTCAGCAACAGCCAGCAGCCGTGCCCCGGCGACGCCGTCCGCATCGTCGCCATCTCGGATGGCTGCGACCGCGGCGGCCGCGCCGAGGCCGGCGAGGCCGCCGCGTACCTGTCTCGGCTGGAGTCGGCCGGGTCGGAGACCGTGGACCAGCTGCTCCGGTCCGAGGCGGAGCAGGGCAGGCCCGTGCACGCCGTGGTGTACGACTCGTTCATGCTGTGGGCACCGCGCGTGGCGCGGCGGCACGGCGCGTCGTGCGCGGCCTTCTTCACGCAGGCGTGCGCGGTGAACGTGGCCTACTCCCACGCGCGGGCCGGCCGGGTGGAGCTGCCGGTGGCGGCGGGGGGCGAGGGCAAGGCGCTGCCGGAGCTGCCGGGCCTGCCGGCGGGGCTGGAACCGGCCGACTTCCCCACGTTCCTGACCGAGCCCGACGGCGGCTGCCGCGCCTACCTTGACCTGCTGCTGCAGCAGTGCCAGGGGTTTGAGGTGGCAGACCACATCCTCGTCAACTCGTTCTACGAGCTGGAGACCAAGGTAATCACGTACTAAGCTCGTGCAGTGTTAGCTAACATGGCGCTCGCCGCCGCCGGGTATGGTATGCGTGAGAATGAGGTGCTGAAATCTGACAGGAAGCGGAGTACATGGCGTCGCGGTGGGGTGCCAAGACGGTCGGGCCATCGGTGCCGTCGGCGTACCTCGACAACCGCCTCCCCGACGACGTGTCCTACGGATTCCACCTGCTCGCCCCGATGAGGGAGGAAAGCAAGGCCTGGCTCGACGAGCGGCCGGCACGCTCCGTCGTGTACGTCTCCTTCGGCAGCCTCGCCGCGCCGAGCTCTGCTCAGATGGCCGAGGTGGCCGAGGGCTTGTGCAGCAGCGGCAAGGACTTCCTGTGGGTCGTCAGAGCCTCGGAGACTCCCAAGATCCCCGGCGGTTTCGCTGACAAGGCCAGGGGGAGGGGGCTCGTCGTGACATGGTGCCCGCAGCTGGAGGTCCTGGCGCACCCCGCCGTTGGGTGCTTCGTGACGCACTGCGGCTGGAACTCGACCATGGAGGCGCTGGGCATCGGTGTGCCGATGATAGCAATGCCGCAGTGGTCAGACCAGCCGACGAACGCCAAATACATTGAAGATGTTTGGCGAGTCGGCGTGAAGCTACGACCAGACGACGCTGGATGTCTAGTGAGGAAAGATGAGGTGGAGAGGTGCATTAGGCTGGTGATGGAAGGAGAGACTAGCAAGGAGTACAGGGAAAATGCTATGGGATGGAGCGAGAAGGCAAAAAAGGCCATGAGTGAAGGTGGTAGCTCGGACAACAATATCATGGAGTTCCTCAGCAAAATTCGATTGAAATGAAATGATCATAGGAGAATAGACAACACAAACATCTGGAGAAATGGAGAAGATCTCGCACCTTTGGTTTGGGAATTCATAGCCGTGATGCCTGATATGGCCATTTACGCAAAATGCTATTTACACATTCTTACTGTCATTCACTGAAACTTAGATAAATTGTATTACCTCTATAGCTTGCTGATCAGAGCCTGGTTACAAGCGATCTTCAGCATCTGTTTTTTCTAGTCTATCTTTTTTTTCATTTTTACTATTGACATATTGACTTCATTTTCTATTCTCAAGCGTAATCGTCCAAGGGACATCGGGCTATTCAACACAGCGATGCCACGTTATCCTGATCTTGTCATCGTGTATGGTGATCCTACGCATAATGTTTAAAAAAAAAAGTGATCCATCTTCGTATAAAGTGTTAGTCAATCCACGACTTGCGCATATGCTAACTTTAACTACAGCATGCTACGGCTATCAATCAAACAGGCTCTAAGTGTGCATCTATCTTCATATATACAGTAGTGTTTAGGCATATGCCTAACCTTAATCATGTCATGTTACGGCTACCATTCAAACACACCCCTAGGCTACACTTTTGATAAAGTATTGCATTTGTGTAACAAAATAGTCATTGAATTGCAACTTGCATCTAGTGGTTGATGCACTTAATTGATTTGATGGGGTCAGTTTCACATTTTGCCATCATGCCATGCAGCCGACGTCGCGGTGTACTCTCTCTGTCCATAAATGATGCAATTATGGGTTACGTGTCAGTTAAAATGGTTCACGTTTGACCAAATTTATAGTGAATAGTATTCACATTTATAGCTCCAAATCAATTTATCATGAAAATATATTTCGTAATTGATCTAATGGTATTCATTTTATATCATATTGATATTTTTTATCTATAATCGGTCAAACTTATAAGATACTAAAATATGACATTGTGCTAAAATTATATTCTTTCTTGGACGGAAAGAGTATGCAAATTGCTGATGTATGGAATGTATGGAGTTTCACCACAGTGACAAATTTATCACTAGTAAATATTCCAGCTACTCCATTCGTTATGAAAAGAATACAGTTTTAGTACAAAACTGAGTTAAATAGTTTTAAGTTTGATCAAATTTATAAAAGTATATCAAATAGACGTCATTGAATTCATCAAGAGATATATTTCATAATATTTTAATGGATTTGGTACAAGTTGTCGACTAAACATGTCACTATGTGAGGCATTCATCATCCATTACTCGGAAAAGTGACATTGCAGCTATCGGAGGTCGCGCGCGGGGACACAGCACAACACACACACACACACACACACTCGATCCAACTACAATTGCCGGCAAAACAGTAGGACACTCAATGTCCACCGTGCAACTCGAGCTTTAAAGGCGGTTGAGGAAAGCGAGAAGCAGTGAGTGGCGGAAGGCTGGGCCTGGGAGACGCACAGGGCCCGGGCACGACGAGCGCAGGGCAGCAGGCAGGTCTGTCAAAGTGCGAGGATCTGTTGGTGGGCTGGGCCTGCTGGTGCAGGCCGAAATCAGAATAGTTCGTGATAAGCTACTCAGCTACTGCCACTTGGATTATGACCTGAACTTTTTTAAAAGGAACGAAACTATTGACCGATGTTTTGTAGCCTTGTAGGTATACCATGTGTCCCCGGCGATTAAACTTGCGTGCGCGGGTCAACTTGGCAAGCCTGGGCTTGACCGAGAAAGAAACAGAAACCTGCAACTGCAAGCGTCTTCTAGAGGCCCTTGACCGATCAACGTGCGAAACGCCGCATTTGTGGTCCGGCCGTCCGGGGAATCCCAATCCAAGCGTACGACTGAAAGAGAAACCGGGGGTGGTGGGGCGGGGGGGATGAATCTGTCTCCTCTCTTGTGCGGTTCTTCTTCAGCTGATGTAAAAAAATCCCCTCGTCCTCCTCCTGAACTAAATGAGCGGACAGACCACAGACAGACGGCTGAGAAATGAAGCAGGCCTGGACGCATGGTGATTGAAATGTTTGGGCTGCAGAGATAGGTATGATGATAGTGGAGGAATGGTAGGGTGGCGACCGGGACCTGAACCCTTGTTTACTGCTGCCTCGCAAAGCATCGTGGACCAGCAGCGGCACCCTGTCACGCTCACGCAGAGCCAGTAGTACGTGCACTCCACAACAACCGATCGATCGGATTAATAATAACGGCAGCAAATTAAAGCACCAGCAAGTGAACGCGTGCGTGATGATCACTTTAATCGTGCTGAATTGACCCTTTGACCCGTGTGCTGTGCTGGGTCGTCTGCTGCCTCTCTCTTTCACTCGGTCTGGACGCGGTGACGAAGAAACACACAGAAAACGCAGCCCAGCTCCAACCAACCTCCTACCAGTCCGTACGTACACAGTTACACTTCCCCCTTGCAGTTGCAGCGAGCGGTGGCACTGCACAGCACACAGATGGGCGGCAGATCGACGTGCACCTGGACCTGGGATTCGACCAGGTTATGATGCTGTCGAATATCGATGAGAGATTCGTGCAGAGAAACAAAAGAACAAAGTGAGGTGCAGAGACATGCACGCTAGTAGTACTCGATCTGTGCCTAGCTTGGTGGTTGGTTGGCCTGTGAGAAAAGATGCCTTTTTGTTTTGATGCGTGATTGATCGCAAAGCAGCTTTATTAAGCTCAACATGATCTACCACTGTACTAGCTACCACTACTACGACACTGTTCACTGTATGTATGGCTGCCTTCTAATCTAACTTTTGGAAGCAAAGCAAAGCAAAGCAAAAGCAGTAAGCACCATCGTGCGTGCCGTTCTCCTTTTGCACTTGCTCGTCGTCCAGTGGACCAACCAAACGGACTTGGACTGGGCTGGGCCGGCTGGGTCTACAGTTAGTCGTGCTGGTCGCAATATGTTATGATCACCATACCACGCGTGGGGCCCTCGATATTCCGGGGCCAGGACAAACATCGGTGTCAGAAAATTAACGTGTGGGGTTGATGATATATATGCAGACGCTGATATGCACGCCATTTGCTTCTTTTGCCCGCTCACACCAGTGACGTTGATCCAGAGCCTATGGCCGCCCATCCGTCTTCATCTCCTTCCCAAAAGACAAAAAGAGGAAAACACCACTTGCATGTGCGACTGGTTCTCATGCATATGTTATGTCGCCACCAGACGAATATATAAATAAAAAAATCATCAAAACTAGAATACTAGTAATCTAAGTCACTTCTGTCCAAAGATTATTACTGACATTGGAAATTATATACTGACATTTGGAAATCGCAAACGATATAAAACTTTTTCTCTTCGTTTAATGAAAGCAAACGTAAAACCAACCGAATGTGATGATCAACTCCAACGTATTTTTGTGCCCTTGTAGGTAATTAAAAATGCGGATATTTTCCGCCGTATTCGAGACGAATCCGTTTAGAGAGTTCAAATCATTCAGATCCAAGTGCGGATATTCAACATCCGATCCGATCGATCCGTATCCGAATAATCAAATCGTATATTTATGATGTCGATATCCAATCGTATCTGATATCCGATATGATTGACTCCATTCGAATCGTATGGTTTTATGTCTGGTCCTTGATATCCGTTCGTATCCGATCCGTTTTCATCCATAGTACCTATAATTGATATGATGTCACCCGTTAAATTCGCTATAACGTAGGGGTATATAATCAGGCACCAAATTCATAGACGGGATCTATTTGCTTAGAATCGTATCTTAATGATAGAGTCAGCTCTCAAGGTACTCTCAATGCACAAACCAGAAATGATTTCTACGTCTTAGGACAATGTGTCAAGAAATTAGGTTGTTGCAGCTAAGAGTCGCTTTGCGGGAGCGTTGATACGATAGGCAGCTTGTATGCTACATGATTCCGCCCTTGTTTTACGTTCTGTCTCTTTGTAAAACTCATTTTTTACATATAACCCTTGTTTTACGTTCGTAAAAAAACATAAGAAAGCAAAGCAGGAGGATCGCACATAGAATCGTACCCGCGGTGTGGGTATTCGTGAGTTTCGCACTTGATGGGTGTAGACATGGGTATGATGGGGGTATCAGATTTTACCCGCGAGGTACAGATACCCGCAATTTGAAAATACATATGAATATATGTAACCTATGTCATATGCATCCATGTGGTCTGACTCATTTAATATGCAATTTTTAGTATATACATAGCATGCCAAACTATAAAGATGATATTTTTCATGGATGATTGAATAAAGTGATTGTGTAAGCTGTTAACTTGTTACTTTAGAATCTTGTTTAAGTTGTCTTACGTTATTTCTATGATCACGAAGGACCGAATTATGAATCTATGTTGTCTTGTAGCTTGTGAGCTATTGTATATTATCCCATTGAACTCTACATAAGTGAGATTAATCGTATTTGCGTGTCATTGAACTACAAATTTATTATTTTATTTCATTGAGATTTTATTATGTAATCTCTTTTGAATATACCTGACGGCTATCTGATACTCAGGGTACCGCCGGACACGGACACAGATACAAAATCTTACCTGGGAGTATGCTCATGGATATGTAAACTCGACCGGCTATCATCCCTCATCGCACGTGACCTTGCGCAAATGGTGAGGAGAAATATACATTATGCGGTGTGGCGTCTTGCTGACAGGGCGTGTCTGACAGGGCGTGTCTGTGTGTGTGGAGCAAATCTCCCTGTTCGCTTATGCAAAATTTGGTTTATGTTGAAGCTTACATTAAAATATCATGAGAAAAAAATACGATTTCATGACTGAAAAGTAGTACCGAATAAGCTCAGCTGAATCTAGCGTTACCAACTCTGTTTTTTTTTTAAGTTATCAATAAGGCCCCTCTCCTAGAAAAAAATAAAAGTGCCGGAGAAAGTTTGCCTTTTTAACGCAAGGAAGAAGGCAGCAAAGTCGCACAATTATTCCCCCACGGGTGAAAATAGAAAGATCAGGAGCCGGAGACTGCCGAACGTGTGCTCACTTCCTTCAGCAGTCGTCGTCCTCGATGATAAGCAGGGGAGGTGGATCACTCGAACCTAAATAAGTGAGCTTCCAGGTCGGGAAGAGGGACCGCCGGTGGAAAACTTTGGAGGCGCCCAGCTTCCAAGATACCCACTAGCTCCCAGCCTCCCACCGTGTCCTTTCCACCCTTGGCTGATGCTAGGAAGATGGGATATTTGGAGCTCTAAGACAACTACTTCTGATCCTTGCGCTTCATACGCCCCTTGCTCCCTGCGTGTTCTTGATTTGGCCTCTAAATTTGTTGCCTGTTTTCTCGTGGTGAGGAACTATCTTCCTTGTTAGGGGATAAGACGTGTTTTTAGTTCTCCTTGAAATTTCTATGCATGCTAATTTACTGATTCTTTTTGCAGTTTGAGGTGATATCTCGATTCTAAAAATCTGCCAGATTTCTTCTCCCTGTTTGTATGGACAAATTTGGGGACGAACCCTAGTCTGTGTGTCAAGCAGCCAAAGTGGTGTTCTTGCGGAGCAAAGCTAAAAGTGCACCCCTCTTGGATTAAGCAAGAACAAAGCCTCGCAATTTTAGGATTCGGCACAATACCATCTAAGTGAACAAGTAAAGAGCCATTTGATCTTGGACATGGAGAAGCAATCCAGCACCCGGCATGGTGCCTTAGAGAAATTGAAGAGCTTCCGGGGGATAGAGAAGCAGAGAAGCTTCAAGTTCTTGTCCATGGAGAAGCAGCAGAGCTTCAAAAGGAACAAGGACAGCCCTGGGAAGCGGGGTGACACCGAGCTCCACCTTGCGGCGAGGGCTGGCAGTGTTGCACATGTCCAGAGGATCCTTGCGGAGTGTGACCCAGAGCTGGTGGTGGAGTTAGCTGCCCGCCAGAATCAGGACGGTGAGACTGCGTTGTATGTGTCTGCTGAGAAGGGGCATGTTGAAGTTGTGTGTGAGATTTTGAAGGTTTCTGATGTGCAGTCAGCCGGACTCAAGGCCAATAACAGCTTCGATGCATTCCATATTGCGGCAAAGCAGGGCCATTTGGGTGAGCTTTCATTCCTTCATCATTAATTAGTTGAGGATTAGGCTAGTGTGAATTGGAATTCTTTAATATTTGGATTCACTGGCTTGTACTGGCAGTTCTATGTGATCTTTTGTATTGGTCATTATGCATGCGGTTGGTATGTTTATAAAAATTGACTTGTATCTCATTGACTTCTGCAAATCTCTATGATTATGAAGGAACTGTTTCCCTCATTTTTTTCCCCTTCAGGAACATAGAGTATTAAAACAGTGACACTGAGTCCCTGATTTCCTTTTGCTCAGATGGCTGATAAATTTACTTGGCTGATCTGGTCTAGATTACAACCTACCATGTCTGTCTTTCTTGGTTTTACAGACAAATTGTTGATTTCTCAGAGTTGGCAATTTTCTACAATCTTGCCATGTTGTTGCGTCTAAATCAAAGAACTGGCAATCTAGTGACGAGATAAGCTCCCTACTACTTGTCTGCTCAGCCAGGAGCCTTCACCAGACCAATTAGGCTATGCAATTTCTGATATTTGAGTTAGTATGCTGTGTTGAAGAGCAAACTATTACACAGTTGTTATTTAATCTTACTTTTCAAAGCGTGTATATTCTCTTCTTTCAGAGAAAGAGATCATATTAGTTCAATTTTGGTCTTTGCAGATGTCTTGAAGGAGCTGTTACAGGCCTTTCCCTCATTAGCAATGACAACAAATTCTGTAAATGCCACAGCTTTGGACACTGCTGCAACTCAGGGCCACATTGACATTGTTAATCTTCTGCTAGAAACAGATGCAAGCCTTGCTAGGATTGCAAGAAATAATGGCAAGACAGTTTTGCATTCAGCAGCAAGAATGGGCCATGTGGAGGTGGTCACTGCACTGTTAAATAAGGATCCAGGGATTGGTTTCAGAACAGATAAGAAGGGACAAACTGCTCTACACATGGCTTCAAAAGGCCAAAATGCAGAAATTCTGCTCGAGTTGTTGAAGCCTGATGTCTCAGTTATCCATGTAGAGGACGGCAAGGGGAATAGACCATTGCATGTTGCAACTCGGAAGGGAAACACCATTGTAAGTGACATTATCTCAGAATGTTCTGATTTCTGCCGTGGTTTGAGTCTTCCCGTTTTACATTTTAACAATCAGATGTTCTGTTGTATTTATGGTTGAAGCTATGTTGCTCAGGAGAATGACTAAAATAGAGTTACTCACATTCGTGAGATATTACTTGCTTAATACTTAAGTCTCCAATGTTTTATAAAAGAATTCTAAGAATAATTTCCATCTTTTCAGGAATCAAACAAAAGTTTAGTTCAGTTTATACTAAAAATGAATACTTTCTTCCTTTAAAAAAGCAAGGAATTTCTAAGAGGTTTCGGATTGAATATTGCTCAATCTTAAGAATAGTATGCAATTTGCATTTCAAAGAACTGATTTACTTGTGCTTTATCTGAAATTCGTCTGTTCCTTACAGATGGTTCAGACCCTAATATCAGTTGAGGGGATTGAAATCAATGCGGTTAATAGAGCTGGAGAGACTGCTTTTGCTACTGCAGAGAAACAAGGTAATGAAGAGCTCATTAACATCCTGAGAGAGGTTGGTGGAGAAACTGCAAAAGAGCAAGTAAATCCTCCTAATCCAGCAAAGCAGCTTAAGCAGACAGTCAGCGATATCAGGCATGATGTCCAATCGCAGATCAAGCAAACACGCCAGACCAAGATGCAATTCCAAAAAATCAAGAAGAGAATTCAAAAGCTCCACATTGGTGGGCTAAACAATGCCATTAACTCCAACACTGTTGTTGCGGTGCTTATTGCCACCGTTGCCTTTGCCGCCATATTCCAACTCCCTGGTAATTTTCTGGAGGATATGACTCAAGCACCTGATCCAGACATGACCTTGGGGCAAGCATTGATAGCCAGTGATCCAGCCTTTATAATCTTCTTGGTTTTTGACGCTTTGGCTCTCTTTATCTCGCTTGCTGTCGTAGTAGTCCAGACATCTCTAATTGTTGTTGAGCAGAAGGCCAAGAAGAAGATGGTCTTTGTGATAAACAAGTTGATGTGGCTTGCATGCCTCTGCATCTCGGCAGCCTTCATAGCACTAACCTACGTTGTCGTGGGTCGAGATGATGAGTGGCTGGCTTGGTGTACAATGGCAATCGGCACTGTTATCATGGTGGCCACTCTCGGTTCCATGTGCTATTGCATTGTTGCTCACAGGATGGAAGAGAAGAGCATGAGGAAGATCAGGAGGAACTCCACGAGCCAGTCATTTTCCATATCAATTGACTCGGAAACGGAGCTGATGAACAGTGAGTACAAGAAGATGTATGCCCTTTAGGATATCGGCCATGCTTGTCATTTGAGTCCTGTATATATTGATACCCATTTGCCTGAGACCAGTCCATGGCATTAAGTGGGATTGACTCAATCAAAACTATATTTAGTCCTAGAACATGGCATCTGTATGTAACTGCAGTCTGCATCCTCCATCCACGAACGTAGGGTGAAGTCTAGGTGATAGGTGTAGCCACTTTTTTGTTGGCAAAATACAAATATTGCCAAGCATGATGTCCCTATCTTATGCTTATTTTGGTGGATGGCAGTGAAAACCATGAAACTGTATCTGTATAGTAGAATAGTTTGGAAATAAGTTGCCCTTATGTCAAAAGTTATGTGGTCGTGGATGCTCTTGTGATGCAACATGAGACTGGAGTAGACTGAGGCAAAAAACAAACTGCTTCTAATATTTCAACACCTTGCAGATTAGGAGTTGTATTTACTGACTTACTGTGTGTGAACGAGTTCCTTCTCTGAGAGAGAATATTTTGTGTTAAAATCTAACTTTTTTTTTCTCAACTTTTGATTGTGCATTCAGCACATGGTGCAAAATCTCTGTCAAGAGACAGCAGTGATTTAGGATAGTGAGAAGTCCCCATAAAAAAAAACTACATGGCGAACATCACTAACATAAAACATGAACTGCAAAGAACTTTCAAGTTACGTGTATTTTCATAAATTAAGCCAACTAAGTTTATTCCAATAACTCAATAGGTATATTTGCATACATTGGGTGGAAACGAATGTTACTCTCTTTGCATTCCTTCCTGAAAATGAGAGCGTCCCATCTACTCATCAGCTGAAACCAGTGCACTTCTTTGCATGGCTTCCAAGCTTTAGCCTCTGCTCCTGCTCTCCTGCTCTCCTGCTCCCCTTCACTACCGCATCGGTGGCAGTGGCACCGGCACCCTTACGGGCAGTAGGCACAGCACTAGTGGCAGCTCTGCTTCTCCCTTTCAGTGTTGCTGTAACCTGCGCGTTGTCTGTTGTTCCAGCAGGTGGGCATGACAGTCTCCTGGTGGTGCCAGCATCCACCTTCTGATCCTTTGCACCAGCTGAAGAATCATTCAGCCGAGGTTTCGCTGTGGTTGCTGTAACGTTCTTCTTCGGTGCCTTGTCCAGTCCGGCCACATTCCTGACTGCATTTGACGGCTGAGATTTGTTGCCCGAAGTTTTCTTGGATGCTTTGGTGGCTGTACTAGTAGTAGCTGTTGGGGCTGCAGGAATTGAATTGTGCTGCCTATTGGTCAGAGGTGTATAGCTGGACTTCTTATCTATTCTGTAAGCTGAGTCCTGATCTTTAGATGGAGTAGGAACTTCTCTGTTGAGTTTTTTCTTTGATGATGAAGAGCTGGGCCTCTCTGTCGGAGTTACAGACGTAGTGGAGCTGGAGGTAGGCGATTCAGACGTTGTTGATACAGCTGTAGAGTCAGGCTTGCTTGAGAACTGTACCAGTTTCACAATATCATTGAAAGATCAAGGAAAGATAAACGCAACAATTTTCTGTTCTTTTTTTAAACATTATACTACTGTGTAGCATGTGCCAATATAAAATATTTCTCTGTGGCTTCGACATAACTTGAGCAAACACGGTTTAGAACGGATATGTGCTGACATGTTAGGTACACCAGTTTTCAGCAAATTCTCAGTGCAGAATTCTAACTTGGTGAATTAACTTCATCATTTACGCACAAAGGGCGAGCTACGAGTGCAAATTCATCATACCCTTGAAGTTCTGACTGGCTGAAGTATAGGCAGCTCCTTCTGAAAAATCATCTGGGATGAGTTGGCTTCCATCTCAAGGGAGGGGAACAGTGGGGTCGCTGGAGGAGTCTTGAGCCTGAAAACGAGCTGCTATGTTTTACAATTCAACTGAAGTAATGGGTGCATCTGGATGTAATTAAGACTAGGAATCTATATGTATTTACCAGTCATAATCATGCTTTTCGCTATCTGGAAGGAGGTAATCTCTCTTTCCTGAAGGAAGCTTGAACATGCGACCGTCTCCTATATTCAGTCATTAGAACGCACTCTCATCAGATGATCTGTTCTAGAAAGCTAATTAACTGCACTTTTCTTGGTTTTTTTTTATAAATCAGTCAATCAAAATCCTTGTTTAGTAAAATGAGATGAGAATGCATAAATATCTTTTCGACTAGCTCTAGACCCTAGGCAGTGATAATAATAAAAGCAAAATGGATGTCATTTGATTGATATTAACAAGAACAGGTGAATGGCTAAATAGAAGTAAACCCTCACCTTGAATAGCTTCAAACTCCACCGAGAACATTGGCTCAAGGAGGTTCATATCTCTCTCTTTCTCATGCTTATACAGCTCCCCAAACAGAACTAAGCTCTCATCTTCATCTCTCCGAACAGGGACTGCAGGCGTGCCCTTCGCCATGCCAGTGAATTTCTTCACGCGATCCATCTGCAGGGGCTCCGGGCGTTAATCACAAGGTGTTTTTTTTCCCCACAGCAATCCACAAAAGGCCCTGAGACGCTGGGAGAGCAGGAGCATATATCACCGTGTCCTGTCCTGCCACACAGGTAGTCAGAATACTCTAGGCACCAAAACTGTGCCGGCAATGCTGAAACCATCCCTGGAGCTCCACGCGATGTGAACAAACGTAACAGATGTGTTGGTGAAAGGGACAGGCATGATGCCACTGCTGAATGGGCAGATTGTCAGAGTCGATGATTCATTCGGTATGTGTTGTTCCGTTCTCCTTGTCCTCCATATGGCACAAATGTGTTTTTTTTTTCAGTTTTGTTTTCGTCCTTTGCCTGCAGGCCATCCGTCTGTGGAAGTTTCCATATGGCGTTTTGGTAGCGGCACGTTGCGTCAGATTCAGAAATGAAAACCTGGCAGGCATGAATTGAACAGGAGCTGGAAGGTGCTTCACCTGATCACATCTGATTTCCCTTCCCGCCTTGACGCCTCCCCCACTAGGTTCTTGTCCACGCCACGCATGCCCACTCGTCCAGGGACCCAGATCCAGTTTTCCTTCTCCCACAGCGGAATCTCCGTCCAGGGCGGCGGCGCGGCGGTTGCCATGGCGGGCCCGCGCAGGGAAGAGGGAGTAGAAGCGCCGCACGCCGTGAGCGTGAGGCGTGAACCGCCCGAAGCGTAGCAGAGTAGTGACCCTGGAGCCCAGGCGGGAATAACATTAATTCATGGAGCTCCAGACCCCAGAGTAGCGTAGCTGGGTTGAGTAGCGGCTGGGAGCAGATGACAAAAGGAACCCTCTCGGATTGCGTTGAAGCAATGAAACAAAATTTTTTTTCTCAGAAAGCATTTGCGTATCATTGTAATTAAGACGAGAAGAGTTTAACCATACATACGACACGTTTCTGATGAACGCCTTAGGAGGTCTTACAGTTGTGACTGGACCTTCCTAGCAGACTGTTTCAAACTTCGATATTACATAAAAGTAACAACCGAACTACGAGCAACGCAGTAACCTATGGAGCTGGGCGTCTCCGCTAGCGGCCACACGACTCTGCTCCGTCATCCGAGAAGAGTCTTCTATCAGTCGTAGCATTGGTCGCCGGGAACAGCACGTCCAGTGCTTCCACTTCGCTCGACGTCAAGTTCCTTGCGAAAAAGTCGTCGTAAGCTCTCTTGGACGCGGATGAGATTGGATCTACCGGCGGTGCAAAGCCCATCCTCCGCAAGAGGAGCACCTCGCCCGCTTGGAGATCGGAATGTGCGCCAGTGGCTAAGCGGCAATCCGTCTGCTCCGTTTTGGCATGGGTTGTCTTATGGTCACCACCTTCTGTCTGGGTGGGCTAGGCGATTAATGACGGCATTCGCTCGAGCTGCACCTCCTCAGTGAACCGTGCGAGACGTCAAGCAGCTTCGTGTGGTGTGGGCGTCGCGTCGCTAGGGGTGGTGCAACCCTCTGCGACACTTTGCTACCTCTCTCTCAAAATAAATTAATTCCTAGAACCATGCTTAGTGAATCTGTCTCAAGTTTGACCAACTTTGTATGAAATGGTAACGACATTCATAGTACCAAATAAGTATATTATAAAAACATATTTCATGATGTATCTAGTAATACTAATTTGGTATTACAAACATTAATGCTCTTTTATAAAGTTGATCAACCTTAAAATAATTTGACTTAGAACAACATACTATGAGTGTTTATTTTGGAATAGATATAGTGATGCATTATCAATCAATTTCTCAAATTTAATAATTATTAGCTTTATTACGAGGTGATTGATCAACTCATTCTATTCCACGTACCTATATAACACACACACACACACAACTCGCTAGGAGACCAGATTGTGAAACCTACAGTAGCAGTTTCCACAAGGGCGCGCAGATTCACATGAAACTGGCACTGAGAGAGTATAGCACGGCGATTAGATCAACAGCTAAGCATGGCGGCTTGTTAATTATTCCGCTCCCGATTCCACTTATTCCCACAGCTACAGCTGAACATCGTGTTTGCTCCAGAACCATTACAATCAGCGAACATCACTTTGCCTGAACAACAGCTCTCCTCTCTGCTAGGGTTCAGGTAGATTCACTTATTGGGGAAGCCTTGAGCTTAACCCTGGGCATTCCCTCGCCTTGCCTCGTATACCTGCCTGACTGCATCCCAGAATGCAGGTACCGCCTCTGAGTCGGGAACTTTTTGAAAGATGGGAGGTAGTTTAGGTCCACTATGACATGGTCCCCTGTGCCTTCCTGAACCTGCATATATCCAATGAACACTCACTAAGCCGCTATCATGTTAAAGTGCTGCTTTCGGATTTCCTTTTCTACACATCCTAATTAGAGCGAGCAGAAGGAACCATAATTGCTTGTAGCTGTACTGAACTCCACGAGCATCATAAATATGCAGGGTCAGAAAATATACTTACAACGACATCAAATCCAAATATTGCAAGTCCAAGCAGTCCCTTTAGAAATTTTGCAGCCTCTTCTACTAGATTGGCATCTAACAGTTTGCTATCTTGCACCCTGGTTTGCAGTTGCTGCTCCTTGGTAGCCACTGGAAGAGTCTTCAAACTGACACAAGCCAGATTCAAGTATAACTCAGTGTTATAGTACCAAGCTCTTACAATGGAATGATAATAAAGCAATCCAGCACTTTTGATTACCTATTAAACGTAAGAGCTTCACCTCCTGATGATGACTTCAAAAAGCGTGCATTGGGCATTGAATCTCTAACAGCATAGAAAACTTTGTCTCCAATCACATAAAATTTGAAAATCTTGGATCCATGATCCACATATTCCTGTAAAATGTTCTTTAGCCGATGAGTTACTGAGACCTGTACAGCGAAAGCTATAACAAGAAGGAAAAAAATTCAAGAAAAGGCACGATGTTATACTGGTACCTGTAGTACAGCAGGAAGAGGCACGCTAAGGTTGCTAAATTCTTCAATTTGAAAAACTAATGCCTGCACACAGCAAGAAATGTGATTCAGCTGCAAGTGGAAAAGACAAGGCAAACTCTGAATTTAAAAGGTTGGGTTTGCAGTGGTGGACTGGTGGGAGAACATGAATGCTTAATTTCTTTATGTAAAGGTGATGATTCAGAAAACTGACTTAACATACGGTCCAGCATGTAAAACAATACAAAAACAAAGACAAAAATCAAACCATATTGTGGGCATCAGCAACTCCACAAGCGACTTGTGGCTTTACAATGAGTGGGAAGGATAAATTAGCTTCCGCTAGATGCTTATCTAATTCACCATCATGAAAATTGTCAACCTGTTTTACAAAATAGTTAGTCAGGCAAATGGTATACTTGAACTCTCAGAAAAAGGGACCAATAACTCAAAGAGTAACCATATCAAAACTACCTTCAAAGAATATGGTGCTCGAAGTTTTGGCTTTCCTTCAGTGGCAAGTTCTTGCAACCGGACAAGGATTTTTTGGATTTGAAGACGATCGAGCAATGGGTAAATATTTTTAAATGGATCCATGATGCAAAAATCAGGGTGCTCTTCCACAAACCTGATTTAACGGAGGGCTGCGGTGAGACAGAATAATGAAGTCCAACAGAGCAGATAATATGTTTAAAGCATCAAATATTATTGAGAAAATCTCCACTTTTCTATGCTCAAGTAGCTACAGAACACATGCCTACATTTGCCTGTTACTTGTTGTTTCAGTATCACCAGTCTCCGCAACCAGAAATGGATAGCAAACTAAAACAAGTCTCCCTATATGTTTGGAAACATTATTAGAAAGGCAAAGGCTCCCTAAATATTTCTGCTCTAGATTGATCAATGCACAAACAGTTGGGTTGATCGAATTCAAGCATCTTCATGACAACTCCGATAAGCTGAGATTTAACATTGTCCTGGAAACAATTTCAGAAATAATGACTTGCTCTGATAGTCGAATATCAGTCTATTCAGTACAGAAAGTTGGTAGGCATAAGATAGATCCCCAGAAATTATGTACAAATATTTCAGAGAAAGAAAATAAGAGATTGTTTTAAACTGATACCATAACATAATTACTTGAGTAAGATTTTAAAATATTCACATGCACACCCAAGAAAATACTCCCTTCACATCTTAAGTTGGTTAGGGCTTTATACCTTATAATTTCAGACATTCCTGCAGAAAATGAAATCCCTTTTGAAAAATCGATGGAGCAGTTTGGATCGATCTTGACAATCTCATCGGTTATTTTGTGGAGGACCATATCAACTTCTTGCAGTTGCAAACTTAAAGGAAGTTCGAAAGAGAGGGGAACGAAGATAAGACTGTCCTTTCTAGGATATATGGGAAATGCTCCTCTCTGTAAGCAAGATGAAAAAGCACGATGCTCATGCTGGAATCCAACACATAGTTGTTAATATTCAGTTACACTTTAAAGAAAACTTGCCTTTGCGAAGTCTTCCTCACGGGATTTTTTCATTATATATCCAATCACCAGAACAGATGAGCCACATAGTTCCTACATCAAAGAGGGAGACACTTCAAATTAATGCACTCTGTAATTACAGAACGTGTTTAAGTAGAAGGCAAGGACAGACTTACCCTTTTTATTAGAGTAGCCAAGGTGAGAAGCAACTCCTGAAGCCTTTGAACATTTAAAACACCAGGAACCTCTATGCTACATTCATTAGCTGGACCAGTGAAGAGTATCAGTTCCCATCAACCCTCACGAGGACAAATGTTCCATTATGTAATACAGCAATCTCCACATTCATATCTTGAGCAAAATTCTAATACAAATGACTTGCTAAAAATAGCATGAAAATAAAACCTGGCTTTTCAGTTCCAGTATAGGCTTACCTACAGAAAGAACTCTCCAGTTCTGATTCTGAAGCTCAGAAATTAAACCTTTGTCAACTCTTGAAGTCACATAAAAACAAAAACTTGTTCGGCTCCATTCTAACATTAATTCAGTTGGAGAAAGATTCCCACTTTTTGCACGAAGTGGTATAGAGCCAAACAAGTGTGAGCTTGCGACCTTTTCAAGAAAGCCTGACTAATAAAAGGAAATAGGAGGAACTTGTAAGCATATTTGTTTATTTATTTACTTTGGGGGACGAGGGGGGGGTTATTTTTTTCCCCTAAAAAATACAGTTTAAAATATTAGAACAGCGGTATTTTCATAGCAGTTTCATAGGGGCGCATTGAGGTGGTATGGAAGTTTGGGCAGTTAAGGAATCTTTGTACTGAAGCAAATAGCCAACTCAAGTCTTAACTGTTCAAAACTCAAACGTAATGACCAAAAAATCCATTATTTCTGATATGAAGGATAATAATTACATGCAATCAATTGAAAATTCAATGATCTCATATATCATGAAGAAGTTGACATGATTTATCGTGCACTTCATAACATTGGCCCATGCCTAAAAATTATTGAAATATATGCCACTCATGAAAATTTAACAGGACATTGCCTCAAGATCAGCAGTAATAAACTGTCTTTCCATTAGAGGTGACTGGTTTCTCATTCATTCTTATTAACACAATGCCATTCTTTGAAGAAAGCATGATAAGCTAGAGTACCCCCGTGGGCCATGGATAACTAAACTAAGTATGGCAAGAAGAAGCAAGTACTGTCGATGTGAACTTCTGAATGGACAACTTCAAAGGGATGTATAGATCAGTAGAGCACCTCATTAGTTGACATGCCCTCTGCATAGCAGAATGCCTGAAAAAGGATACAGGAGGATATATAGTCAGTTGCCCATCGCTTGCTCAGTTTATGAACTCTTGTAAGCTCTACTGATCCACTGACAGCAAGCATGTCAACTGTTGGGCTAAAACTTGAACACAAGGAACAAGCATCCCATCGACCACAAGATGGTATTCTCCTAAATGGAATCCTAAATTGCAAATATCAAGGAAAACTAATAGATTGTAAGAAACATTCAAGCATATGGCATTAATCAACAGGACAAACAACTTCCAGGGGCAATCTATCAGCGAGCGCATTTCCTCGAACAGTACGGCACTATGAAACAGTAAGATCTCAGTGACGCCGTGTTTAGTTCCAAAAAGATTTCCGCCCCCCCACACACAAAAGTGCTACAATATCCATCACATCGAATCTTGCGATACGTGCATGGAGCATTAAATGTAGATAGAAAAAAAAATTGCACAGTTTGGTGAAAATTACGAGACAAACGTTTTGAGCCTAATTAGTCCATGATTGAACACTAATTGTCTAAATAAAACGAAAATACTACAGTATCCAAATTTTCAAACTTCATCCAACTAAACACGGGCTGAACACATCTATCTAGCCAAACAATGACAAATCGCACCGACAGAAAAAAACAAAACAAAAAAAAAGTCACTCATACCACGCTCAGGTTGGAGTAGCGCAGCCGCCGCAGCAGCTCCTCCACCCCGGGCCGCAGCGCCACCGCCGCCGCATCCCTGGTGAAGGAGGGATCGAGGAGGAGGGAGGCATCCAGCACGAGTCGTACAGACCGACCCATGGCCATGGCTTAGGGGAGGGAGATGCCAATTGCCAACGCCTGGGTTCGGTTTCTGGCTTTCTGCTCGGCGTTGGCACTTCCGCACTTGGGGGCTGCCGGGCTGGACGCCTGAACCTGGAGCCGGGCATGGGAAAGGGGAAGCACTTGAGAGGCGGGCCCAGGTGTCAGTAGCAGGCGTGCGCATGGGTGGCACCTGGCGGGAGGAAGGCGAACAGATGTGCAGTGCAGCAGGTCAGAATTCAGGAGTCAGAATACACCTGTTATTATTCTCCTTTTCCTTAGCAGCAAAATAAAAAGAAATCAGCCTAGCTTTTAAACTTTCGGGGAATCAGATCCGTTGCCTTCATCATCACCAGAAAAAAAAAATGTATCTTTCTCCTCTTGTCTTCCCAATCGAAAAGTTTAACCACAATGGTCAATGTGACGTGCTCGGTACGTGCGAAGCGAATAACTTCGGATATCTCTTAGTCATGTGCGGCCTTTTTTTAGGTATAGATCTAGCGTGCACACTAAGATATATGTGTGAATTTATGTGCGTATGGTGGTGTGAGTTGATGTATACATTCAGATCCTACGTACTTGTACTTGAAGAGTCGAGGCATAAAAAAAAAGTCGAAAAGTTCACTGGTTTATGTCATGGTGATGCAACAAGCCCAGTGATTTGTCAAAATGCGTCCGTTGTGTATTTCATTTAATTTGCCATCAGCGAAAACGCAAGATTGTGCTTCGCAGTCGCAGCAAGCACTACATTTCACTCGATTTACTCGTCACATCGATCTTCTGTACAAAGTTGTGCCCGCAGCACATGGTACCAACACATCCTGTCCTGTTCGCTTGAACTGTTTTTCAGCCAAGTCATCCTCATATAACATCGTTAAATCTGAGGAAAAAGTCTACTTAACCTCTTCACCTTTCATATATAGTCTACTTCATCCCTCAACTATGAAACCGTCTATTTTACCCCTGAACTTTCTAAAACCGTCTATTTTACCCCCCGGGCGGTTTTGACAGCGGTTTTGCTATAGTACCGATGGGTCTGAATTTTTTTTTAATTTTCGGTGAATTTTTAAAAAATCATAATAAATCATAGAAAAATCTAATTTTATTGGACTCCACATGAGTAGATCTACATAGTGAATATATAATACGATATGCTTTAGTATAATTTTTTTGTAGCTTTAGATTAATTGGAAAATCCAAGGGCTCGTCCGGACTCCCCCTATGCCGACTCTGCACGCGCCGTGGTTGTCGCCGAACCCTACCTCGCCGCCGGCCTATTACCCTACCTCACCGATTTACTCACCCTCGTCGCCGAACTATCCACCCATCTCGCCAGGCTCGCCTTGGCCGCCGGGCTATTCCCCACCCCCACCCTCACCGGTTTACCGCGCGGTCCTTTCCCCCACCTCGCCTGGTTATTCCCCGGACGAAGAATTCGACGACTGGTGGGGTGATCATACTACATCTCCGTGGTCACCGGGTTCACCGGTCTATTGCCACACCCACACCTCACGCCCGATTCATGGCAACCGCTCAACGACGGCCGGCTCCCCCACGGGGCCAGGTTACAGTTACTTTCCTGGAGAATTCAACGATCATGCATCTCCGGCTCTGCTGGTATCGCCGGCCTACGACTCCCCCACCTCGCCAGGTCATTTTCCAGAAGAATTTAACGAGGTTTGGGAAGACATAACTCTGGCGGACAACGTACGAACCCCCGCATCGCCCGAGTACTGCTACTGTTGTTCGACGACGCTGAAAGATTGCTGCTGTCAGCCCAGCGACGACGACGTCCCCGCGCAGTGAGCTGCTGTACCACGCCGCTGCTCCCTGGCTGCTTTGTCAGTTGTCACAGGCTACCCTGAGTCTCTTTGCCAATATCCCGCTGGCGACTGGCGCCGTGGGCTCACCTCTCACGTAGGTTATCTTTGGGCCTGTTTAGATTAAAAAAATTTGCGCAGTGTCTATCACATCGAATCTTGTGGCACATGCATGGAGTACTAAATGTAGACGAAAAAAAACTAATTGCACAGTTGGGTGAGAAATCGCGAGACGAAACTTTTGAACCTAATTAATCCATAATTAGACACTAATTATCAAATACAAACGAAATACTACAATGAGCTAAAATCTAAAATTTTTTGAATCTAAACGGGGCCTTAGCTGCAGTTTGTAATCTCTTGCATTCTGGATTTCTGGGTCTCTTCCGTGCAAGTCGTGCTGTATGTCTTTTTTTATTTGCCTCTCTCTCTCTCTCTAAAACAGATAAGTTTCAAAGTTTGTCTCCGAATTTTAAGCAGTGTGTTTGTTTGTGAACCGTGATTTATACTTGCGCGCGGGCACTTGCAACTTACTGAAAGTTGCTACATCCACCTGTTCGTTTGATCGTTTCTGTGACTTATAAACCGGCTAATGTTGTTTTGTTATGAGAAAAAAATATTGTATCATGATTGATAAGTATGGCTGATACGATCAAGCGAACAGGCTGATCATGTGTATCCATGTGGATTTCTTTGATCATAAATGCATCATCTATCCAGGAAGTACTTCAAGGATCAATCTGAAAACTTTGACATTCTGGCTCATGTCTGATGGTAGCTTGCTGCGAGGATTGGTTGAGGTTGAGGAATGCAGTGGCATAGCAAAGACTTTGTGCAGGTTACCAGCCTGTTAGCCAAAAGCCAAGTAGGCATTATTTTTCCTCGATGCTACATGTACAGTACAGTACAGTACAGAAGCCACTGAATCAGCATGTGTCTATGGCATCTGTTCAATAGTGCAACCAAGCGGGTATGTGAAGAGGTCCAGTTTGTCAGCCTGGGTATTCGGTTAACCGAAATCGATCGCGGTTTTCTATGAAATTCGGTTACCTCCAAACTGCTAACCGATCGGTTCTTTTGAGAAGTGAGAACCTAGGGATTCGGTTTCGGTTCTTTTCGGTTCGGTTCTTTTCGGTTCGGTTTCGGGTATCTCCGAACTAACCGATTCTTCAAAACTGAGCATTCAAAAATAAATAAATCGATGACCAAAATCAGCAAAAAAAAATGAAGATCCAAGGTGGTCGTGCACGCATGGGGCCGCCGCTGCCGCTTGAGAGGGCCGGCGTCGCCGCTGGAGTTCCACAGCCTCAGGACCTCCACGGCTCCATCCCGCGGGCCGCAAGCAGCCGTCGCCGCCGTCAACGCCGGCGGGAGGTTCGCCACCGTCGCCCGCACCCGCGGGAGGTTTGCCGCCACTGCTGCGTTTCCTGTTGGAGGCCCGAGCCACCGCGACTTGGACTCCAGGCGCCGTGCTGGAGAGGGAGCAGAGAGCTAGAGACTGGGGGTGTCGGGGAGAGCGGCAGCGCATGAGGGAGCGAGAGCCGCGCGAGCCACTAGGCTTGGACGAGGCGCGGCCGCGCGGGGAGGAGACTGGGAGTTGCTGGCGGTTGGGGGGAGGAGGAGTGGAGTTGGTGAGTGGGACTAGGGTTTAGAGAGGTTATGTATGCATCTATGTCTATTGGGCTGGGCCTTTTTCTTTCTATTACTGGGCCTTAGCAATTATTTTGGTTTTTCGGTTAACCGAGCCCAAGAACCGAATTAACCCCGCTTATTTTGGTTACCTGGAACTGGGAACCGAAATATTTGGTTTTGGTTAGTTCGGTTTTGGTTCCGGTTATTTCGGTTCGGTTTTTGGTTCTCGGTTATTTTTGCCCAGGTTACTAGTTTGTATTTGTGTTCCCCATAATGAAGGACACCATCATCATTGTCCCCATCGCCATCTGTACCTAAAAAACAAGGGTCCGTCTATACCTCACCCGAGCGTTTTGGGAGTCAAAACACTTTATTCTTTTGTTCTAGACATCTTCCTCCTCTCGACACAACGCCACTGCCCAGCACCCACCGCCGTCCCGCGGCGTGCTAGGGTCTCGCAGGAGCTCCGCGGCCGCGGTCGTGGCCATGGAGCTCCCGCGTGACCCTACCGCGCCTGCAACGGCCTCCTTCCCCTATGCAACGCGGTGTCCGTCATGGCCTTCGTCATCATCTCCTGGTTCCCAGGGGCGTTGTACCCAAAGTAGGTAGTTGCCCTAGATCGTCGATCGCTTGGTCGCTTTGCGGGGCCGAGGGCCTCGACCCCAATCGTCGGGGTCTAGGCATTCTGCTGGTCTGGATGGCCTTTTTGTCGAGCCCCTTGTCGTGGATCCCATCCCGTAGTGGGTGGGATTGTACAAGCATCTAGTTGGTCCATATTTGGACGGTGGGTATCATACTAGTTGCCACCGTGGTGCGGTGTTGTCTCGTCGGTGCGGCATGGCACAAGGATGGTGTCTGACCGGGCCGAGGTGACTGTTGTCCCCTCGGTCCTTGCGGGGTCAATGTGGCATGCTTGCTCTTGTCAAAGCAGGCGTGCCTAGCTGCGCTCTACCTCCCCCCATCCCTTTCGAGGGTCATGATGGGGAGAGGTCATGCATCTTGCGAGCGTCATGTGCTAAGGCGGGTAGAAGGGGTCGAGCATGACCCTGGCCTTGGCGCTTGGCCTGCTCCGCTCGGCTTTCGCTAGGCCTCGGTCGTTCGGGCCTTTGTTAGCCGTTGTGTTGCGGGCTGCGTGGCCCGCTAACTACTCGGTGCCTTGAGACACCCCAGGGTTACAACCCCGATAGTAGCCCCGAGCATTTTTGTGATCATGAAGTGATCGTGAAAGCGCTGGTACACGCGTGCATTGGAGCACGGGCTCGCGGACGTGGCTTTTCCGATCTTCGCCGCTCGACCCCTTGCGGGCTTGGTGTATTCAGGTCGGTAGGTGGACGTTGTGCCCCGTACCATCAGGGCATCCTGTCGATGCGATGCTTCGATCGCTGAGCCATGCCATGTCAGTGTGCCGTGTTTCAGAGTTCGCGACCCAGGCGGAGCCGTGTGGTCTCGTCGACCCTTGTTATGGCTCCACTTTTGGGAGGCCTAGATTTCTTTGCCCTTACGTGGGCATCTGACCTTGGTTGTGGTTTTCCGTGGTGCGCCACGCGGCGTGGG